CACTTAACCCCAGGCATTTTGTATTTTATTAGAGACAGAGTCTCACTGAGTTGCTTAGCACTTTGCTTTTGCTGAGGCTGGCTTTGAACTCTTGATCCTCCTGMCTCAGCCTCCCCAGCTGCTGGGATGAAAGGTGTGCGCCACTGTGCCCAATGGTATTTTTCCATATTTCTTATGGGTGCATTACAGTTGCACATATGGTGGGATTTGTTGCTCCCTATTTATATATGCACACCCTATTTTTTTTTTATTCTCTGTATTTCCAAACACTGGACACTCACTTGTTCTTTACTAACTGAACACTGACAGGGAGACTAGCATGGGAAGCGGCAGTTAGTGTAGAAGATATTGTACAAGTTTCAAAGTCGCCTGCATTCTCCTGACTTTTCCTTGAATTATTATCACGCGAGTGGGCTTTTGGAATATGCAACTCAGCCATCTCAGCCATCTCTGAAAGCCACAGATTTAGACCCATTTAATTTACATAAATTAAAAATGACAGAACATGTATTGATTGGAAGCTGTTATTACTTCCTGTTACTGCAAAGTGGTGGACTGGAATACAAGGAGAACACAAATTGCCAAATTTGGCCAAGGTCACTTTGCCTTTCAGAAAGTTGAAATGAAAGTAAGATGAAAAATGCCCAGAGCTGGATGGATGGAACAAAACCTAGGACCTCCTTTTAACAGTGTGTGTGTGTGCTGGGTGTGGTGGTGCCCACCTATAATCCGACATCTTGRGAGGGAGGCTGAAGTGGAGGATTGCCTGTTCAAAGCCAGCCTCAGCAACTTAGTGAGGCCCTGAGCAACTTACTGAGACCCTGTCTCTAAATAAAACAAATAATAATTTAAAAAACGAGCTGGGGATGTGCCTCAGTGGTTAAGTGCCCCTGGATTCAATCCCTGGTATCCCTCAGCCCCCGCAAAAAAAAAAAAAGAAAAAGAAAAAGAAAGTTGTGTGTATGTGTGTTTACATTGTCAAATGCATTCTTAAAGACGTGGAATTTTAAGAAAGAAATCAAAATGCTATGGATTAGACCTTATTGTATCTTCCACTCCTCTCCCGMAAACTCAACATTTCTTCCTGTCCTCTACCCATGGAGCAAGAGCCTAAGCAGACTTTTTGAACCCCCTCTCTCACTGCCTCCCCAACTGCCCTACTTTGGTGCCTTGTCACATACTTTTAGATTTATTGGCTAGTGACTCATTCTATATCTGTAAATTCCCCCTCACCCTCCTTTTTCTACAATTTTCTGATTTCATTTACTCTTTCAGGTTAATTTAAAATCAATTTCTCAAATTCTGTTAAAAATCCTTGTCAATATAGTATTGGAATTACATTGCATAAACATGATAATTGAGAAGCAATTTGTCATCAGAATATTGTGATCCTATCTAGGAACTGTATATGTCTTTTTTTTTTACACTCAAATCTTTCAAATATCCTTCGTAAGACTTTATGTGTTTGTTATAGGGTTCGTGTGTATCCAAATCTGTATTCACAGACATGCACACAGACACATGTATCTAATGTGTATCTAATGTGTGTGTGTGTTTACTATCTATATAACATACTAATATATTAAACATATTATTGTATACTAATATGTCCTGGTTATACCATATACTTTTTTTTTCATTGCTATCACATATTCTTTTATATCTTTAAATAAGTATATGGAATGGATCTTGCAAGTTCATTTTATATTCATCACTTTTTAAATCTTATCTTCATTTTTTGGACAGAAAAGTAGAGCATCCTCGATAGCGACAAAAATCTTCCCACCTACCCCTTCCTCGCCTGTTCTTGTTGAATGGACTGGGACATGCAGAGCTGTGCTGAATGGCAGACAGGGAGCTCTCCCATGGAAACGCTTTTACTGTTCTATCACTAATTGAGATATTCGCTGTCACACTGTGGTAGAAAACTCTGGACACATTAGAGAATTTCTTTTTCTTGTTTTGGTTTACTGAAGAGCTGATAATTCTTTCCATTTCGCAAATTCATTCATGAACATGCCCAGATTTACTTCATGCTCCTCACCAGTGCTGGCCCTTGGCCTCCCTGAGGTCACTGCTTGGAGATACTTCCAACACTCCTGTTGAGCGCTTCTCCGTATAAAGCTTTCCTTGACCCCTGGCCTGTGTTCTCTTTCTCCATCCTCTTGTCCCTGCTTTAGTTGCTGTTGGATAGATCTRACTTTGTATTAGACTCCAAAGTCTCAGAGCTGAGCTACTGAAGTGTTAATCACTGTGTTCCAAATGCCCAAGCCCCTGGCATGGATGCAGTAGGAACTTAGTTAAAATTGTCTTGATAAATAAGCAAATGAAAGAATTGTTGAAGTATTTCTGTGGACCATACAAGAAGTAGGTGATTCTTCCAAACTGGATCATATTCTAGTATTCTTAGAATTATTGTCATTTCTTCCATTTTAATCTATTCTTTTGTGTGAGGAAATGGTCTTCCAAAAATAATCCAGCTGACAAAAAGGAAGAAAAAATTAACAAAATGTTCCGTTTAGTTTTTTTTTAATTGTGGCAGCAAAATACATTTTGTTATTGGTCATCAAAATTTAGGAGGAGTTGTTATTGAATTTTTAATTTTATTTTATAAGAAGGCTCACATAATTTTTTTTTCTTTGTAGGGGATAACCATCCGGCCACTGGTGGAGTTTCTTGATGTTAAGAGATCTAATAAGAAGCAGCAAGCTGTCAGTGAAGAGATCCACTGCCGGGTAGGTGCTGATGAAGTGTAACACTTACATGAACAAAGAAAGAAGTATTTGAATTATTAAAACAACTTGACACCCAATTGCTCATTTGCAGAAGAAAGGAATGGCGGAGGGTGCCAGGCCTGGAGCAGGTCTGCGTGGGAGCATCATAATAATCATAATCCCACGATGGCATCTCCCAGCCAGCTTGCTAAACTCCTATATCAACAGAGGGCGCAAGAAACTCCCTCTTTACTTCCTTCAATCTAAAAATGTTTCTACACACTTTTTACCATTTTGACAATTATTGCCATTTTTCATATTTTTCAAACTTATGAACAAACTCTTATGATGGTCAAAATAATTGAGATAGTAATTGCTGAATATTGATATAACCAACGTCTCCTCTAATTGGAAGACAAATTGTTGGTTTTCTTGCTTTCAGAAAACATAAACCGACAATAAGAAACAACAACTGTTAGGGTCATTGCAGTTTAGTCATGATTATAAATTAAAAATTGCTGACTTCAGGTGATAGCTAATCAATGAGCCTGCTTTTTCTGTTTTAGTTTTTTGATCATGTGAAGACTGGCATTGAAGACGTTTGTGGACATTGGGGTCACAACTTTTGGAGAGACAAGTAAGGTCATGAGTCATTGTGTTATGAAATGGCTCTGGGTCACTCTGGAAGCAGAATATTTTGACTTGTGTCAATTTTCAGGGTTGCAGATATTTATTATATTGTGCATGGTGTGTCCTTTCAAACTCAACTCTAACAGATGTGGAAAAATAGGTAATAAGAGCTTAAACAAAGTAGATGCTGAATTCTCTTATATCAGTTGCCAGAGGTGGGCTATTAATAGATGAGTTCCGCTCCGTCGTTTCCTCAGGATCCCGGGATCCTTTTGACCAGCTGAGACACCAAAAGTGGCCTCCATTTCCACATTTGCTTATTGGACAAGAATTGGTACTTTGGTATCAGCTATTCTAGACTGCATAAAGAAAGAAAGAGCACATCTGCTATCTGACTCCTCAACAGAGCTATCAGAAGCTGTCACAATTTCTATACTTTTTCTCAAATGGCTAGGACCCTGGTGTATGGCCATTCCTCTGTAAAGGAGGCTGAGTTTTGCAGGCTATTTGTTTTTTTTTTTTT